TTAAAATGACTTAGCCACGATACTTATTATCAATGAAATATATAGAGATAACGAACAGTATTCAAGCTCAGAAGTCCATTAAATAATATAAATTTTGGAGCACAGCAAACACAGACCTCTAAAACAGCAGAGGTGGGATCAGGTGCCATGGAGGAGTGAGCATCCTCTACCGCCCGGTCAAACCCGCCGTTTGCTTCTTGTCATGTTCGGGAAAATATGGAAAATCCGTAGACAATTCAGTATGTATAAATAATGACCTAACAATTAGAATGAAAAATATCAGTCAGCATTTGACTCAGTGATAGATTGTATTTGCTGACAAGGTCATTGTATCGACATAGAAGTTACGAAATGACGACTTTAAACGAGACTGCTGAAATTCTTGTTTCATCTACTTGTTTGTTAATAATATACCTCGTTTTAGAAATTGTTCATAAGTAGATGCTCATGCTCTTGCGTATCGAATCAACTGAGAGAGATATACCCCGTATGCAGGTGATGAAGGTATATTGCTGCATAAGTAAAGGAGGTTGACGATTAAAACATTTAAGTCATCACGTTTATTATAAAGCTTTGTTGTTAGATTACCATTAACGTCGTTTTCTAGTAAAATATCAATATATGAAAGAAGTATCACTAATAATATAAAAAACGACAACAACATAAAGTTTTGTTAGTGTGGTTCACCGAATATTACGCAAAATACTTCATCAGCACTTCTTTCTCTTGTGACCTTAAAAAATATGTCGCAGTATATTCAGCTGCACCTTGTCCCCAAATAAGGGACATTCCTACCTCCATCGCAAAAGAATTCCGCTGTGTTGAAGTAATCAGGATATCACTGTTCAGTTGGCTCTTTGTTTTCGGTTTTAAACTTCCCTATTTATTTCAAAAATAAACCGAAGTTCAATGATTGAATAAAAATGGAAATTCTCAACGGTATTCAACATAAAATATCCGTATCTGTTAACATGGGCTTGAGTTCTGTTTTAAATTATATATCAACTTTTCACCGGATGTATTCCATCCGCTGAAACTTGCACATCACTGAACACGGACAGACAACATCGGGTTACTTGTTTTGCTTTCTTGTTTCTACTCCGATTTTTCTCAGTTATACTTTTTTTTATATTGATAGATCACAGACTTTCCGACCAAATTTATTTTGAAATTATTTAATTTCATTGCCAACCTTTTATAGTTTTCATTTCCGACATTTGTCAGGTAGTATTTTTTGGCAATGAAAGCAAGATTGAAGACTTCAATTATAAAAATTTTAAAGAATAAATTATGAATAAATCTTTGAAATCCAAATAAAGTGTTTGACTAGCTATCAATGAAGCGAAAATAAAAGGGTTTTTTTTTCCTTTCCTTCCCTGAGGCACTTGTAAGTGTTGTGAACTTTCGCTCATCTCCTTTTCAAATGTTCAATTCAAGTTTGAAATCAAATATGTTAGGGTGGAAATTAAAAATGTATTGTGAAAAAAAAAATGTATTTTGAAAATGTGGTTTGAAATAAAGACTTTTAGAATTCCATTTCCACTTACTTGGTTAACATTAACTTGCCAGAAAGGTACCCTGCAAAAATTCCGGAAATGAAAAAAATAAATGTCGGAAATGAAAATATCATTGTCAGAAATGAAATTAAAAAATGTCGGAAATGCTTTGCAAAATTCCGGAAATGAAATACAGCGATTCAAACAATACATATAGCAATACATTTGCCAAAAAGAAAAAAAAAAGAAAAAAGAAAAAAGAAAAAGAAAAGAAAAGTAAGAAAAAGCTACATATCGACAAATTCTTTTAAAACGATGAATGTCGCAGATATTCATCTCATTAATTGTAGTGCAACACTGACTGCTGAAGTATTCTGATGAATTCATTCATTCCATGCTCTCGAGTATGTAGCAGAGTATAATTTGTATTTCAAATTCAAAATTAGCTGCGATTCTATTTGACTGGGGTTTTTTTTATCGGCCGCGGGAGCGGCCAAACTATTTGTGGTTGTGTTAGAAAGTGCACATGGAGAAATAAGACGTTATTTTTTTATTGGTTCGATAAAATAATTCCTTATTGATTACATAGATATAAATTAAAGTTATGAATAAAAGGTCCTAAATGGCTGAATATTATGTCTGAATTGTTTTATTTCGTACATTTTTTCCCTCATGTTCATAAGCTATTTATAAATAAATTTATTATATTATATATGATTTATTTCAATTCAATATCTTTAATTCATTTGTCATGAATTTTTTTTTCCGCACTTTTCATTTCGCTATTGAATTGTAGCCGGGGTGCTACATGTTGTGAACTAATTCATTACTATGCATTCTATCCCGACCCTTATTTAAATTTAACTTTTAAAAATAAGCTTTTTGCACCTTTTGTTTAGGTCAATTATTTAATACAAAAGACTATGCAGAAAAAATGATCAAAGCATAATTTTTTTTAAAAGCTTTAGTAAATGTGAAGATTTAGAAAGAACCGCTTTGATGTCATATATCAAACAATTCCATATTCATCGTGTTCATTAAATGACATTTCCTCTTTAGCAAGTTTATAAAAAATATATACAGTTTGTACTTGGGGTTGCTCTCAGTGGCGAATATGCACATTTTACTCGTAAATTTTGTCTTTTGATATATAAATATACCTGGGTAGTTACAACTTATAGTGTTGCCAATTGCTTTACGATTATTTCCATGCTCATTCACATCAAAAACATTTTAATATTCATGTAGTGTTGTGACGTTACGTATTGTCGTTTTAAGGAATGTTTTTAAGTTTTGTGTGAGTTATTGGTGTGTAAATCACACAGACTTGTCACGTAGGCATATTTCATGAAGCGCGCTAGCGCTTCAAGAAAAATATGCCTACGGGCAAGTCTGTGTGACGCGTGAGTATACACAAAATGATTTTCAAATCAATTTCACAGTTGGCTTAGTAGAAAAACACAGCAAATGTAAATATTTGTACATATTGTCGTCGGCGACAGTATGCATATGTACCTACCCTCACTGCACGTATTGTCGTCCATCGGTATATATTGTGGCCGGTGACAATATGAACCGAGACAAGCCTTATTTTCCTCCTGCATAATGGACGACAGAATGTACAGTCAAGCACCAGCACATATTGACGTCGGCGATCAATTTTGCGGTGCTGGCACGAAAAAAATTCCTCACTGCTCAATGACCCTGAGTGCCAAGTATATGTCTAAATTTGCAGCCCTCCACCGGCAAGTGTTGACGTCTACATAGGAATAAAAAATTCTCGTGATCGACATTATAACAACAATCAAACAAAAACAAAATAAATTTTGTTCAAATCATGACCCCAGGGATAGTGTGGGGTCACAATGGGTGATCAAAGTGTTACATAGGAATATATACAGAAAATCTTTAAAATTTTCTCAAAAATCAGACAGATGTAGCGCCAGCTCAACCCCCCCCCCCTTCCCCTTGGTTTGATTTTTTTTTTCTGCTTTGGTAAATCCTGTTTGTTTAACTTGTATATACTCTCAATTTAGTCCACATGTATTATTTCATAATTAAATAATTTACTTAACATATACAATAAGACATCTTTACATGCAAATGACTTTTTAAATTTTTTTGCTTGTAAAAAAAAAAAAAAAAAAAAATCTGAACCGCCCGTGACCCCCCCCCCTTTCTTGTCTGAAATTTCTGGATCCACCACTGAGAACAGCAGTATATATTATATAGAAGAACCCTCAGGTAGCGCAGATTCAAATATCTTCAAATCAAACCGGGCCTAGGGTGGGGCCACAATAGGCGATCAAAGTTTTACATAGGAATATATGGGAAATTTCTTTAAAATTATCTTCTCAAAAACAGAGCAAAGCAAAGCAACAAAGCAAAACAAAGGAATGATCAGTCATATTTATATGGATTGATTAATTGATTATTGTTGTTTAACGCCGAGTTGGCAATATTTCAACTATATTTCGACGATAAAATTAAGTGTATGTGACCATTTTTAAAGTTTATGGTTTTTCTGGCCATATTTATATGGAGCATTGTCGTGCATTGTAATGCGACATGTTCTGATGGACGACAATATGCGCAGTGAGGGTACATGTAGGTACACATTGTCGCCGGATTCGAGATATCCAGGGTAAAATACTTAAGAAATAAGCACTTGGGACTTCAAAATCACTTCGACATATCCATGGTATTCGAGATATCGGTGTTCGAGATACCGAAGTTCAACAGTACATGTGTTTCTTTTCAGCCGGCGACAATATGTACCGATGGACGACAATATCTGCAGTGAGAGTAGGTACATATTATCGCCGACAACAAGGAATAGAAGTTTTACATTGAACCCCATAGAATGAAATACGTGTATTTAAAATATATTTCAATGTATACAATTCATTCAAAATTAAACTTTTGCTACAGAATTCATTTTATAAATAACAGTTTCATTTAATGTAAAAATAAACCATGCAAGATGCCCCCAATTGGAGTGAGATCAAAGGGACGTAAAACTACAAATAAACCGATCAACCAATTGACCAACGAGAAACTATCACGTGATGTTTGTATCTGTTCGTGATATATTGAATTATACATCCATCATATTTCCATTATTTTAAATTTTCAAGTGGACACCGAGGGAATTATCAATAATATTTGATATCAGAGGGATGAGAGTGCTTTGAAACTTACTAACCTGTTGATCAATTCTTGTATTTCATCTTGAATCTATTATATTTTTTCCTCAATGAAAGTACTATAATTAAAATATCTTTGAATTTAATTATTCAAATGACATTATTTTGCACAGTTTACAGAACAATGTGTCTTTCTGTTTTGCTTAAAAATTGCAGCTTTGCAAAGTAAGCAGACAAATATACATGTATATCAAATATACATCACAATATATAGTTAGACATCCACATTCATTCAGATAAAAATAACAAAATAAATAATTAAAAAAAAAAAAAAAAAAAAAAAAAAAAAAAAACATGAAGAGATGTGCTATTCAATAATTTAGCAACTTTTGATGTGTCACTACTATTTAAAATTTGTCATGAAATACTTTAAACATGGCGAAAATTACCCTTTATATGAACATTTTGTGTGCAGTTTGCATTGAATTTGACACCTGTAGTTTTATACAGTGTATTATATATCACACAGCAAAGGAAACTGTTACACGCATTTCATTATTTTGCGGAAACGATGGCATTTGTGTTTGGGAACTCCGTCTACTACTAGGTGGCGCTATCGGAGCAATATCCTTTTCAGTCATTTCAATCATTTTTTGGGCTTCCAGTTTTTTGCCACTCCTTACTCTTTCTAGAATTTCGTTTTCTGGAAACACATGAGGCCCGCCTCCATCCGGGCCTTTGCATACACTACTCAGATCGTAAATGGTTGTATCACCCGGCGGGCTGGAAAAATAATCCCTTTCGTGATACAACAGAATTTTCTCTAGTCTTTCAGGAGCTACGAGAGCTTTTGAATGAACAGCGATATTAGGAAAATAGTATCTCTGATCTTGGGCACTTTTGATTCTTTTTCTCACACGAGTGCAATCTGTACATAATTTCGGACCAAATACGTCACAATATGCCGACTTCATTCTATTTCCGGTTTCTATCTGTCGATGACATGAGGGAGGGACAACTCTAAGCGGGTAATTCTCCAATCTTCTATCGGAAGCATTTAACACACTTTGTGACACGGTGTTGAAATAGCGAGCATGAAATGCATTATTTACGTATCTATATTTCTCCTCTATTGTGACTGAATGATTCGAGAGTCTGCTGGAAATCCTTGGGTCTACCTCGTGATATGGAATCCCCCGCGTTTTTCTGGCTTGAATCATATCACTGAGAAGTTTAACTTGATTCCGAAACAGAACTTTTTCCATTTGTCGCTCCAGTCGACTCTCCCTTGCTACTTGACCAAGAGGACGGACATTACGATTGTTTGCTCGTCTCTGCATTTCCTCATCGTAAGATGATGCATCCACAAAGTCTACAACATCAGTTTAAAACTTATTAATGAAAATTGAAAAAAAAAAAGATACGAAATTACTTAATTTTACATAGTTGAGTGGCTGAATAATGACATTGGAACCCCCTTTAAAACGCAGACCCCTGTTAGGTTGGTAATAATAAGGTCATACATATGAAGCTTAAGGTCAGACGACAAGTTCCTCGAATATCTGTTTTGAATACCTTTTTAATAGAGATGAGATACCCCCCCCCCCCAACACAAAATTGTTTTTTTTTACGTCTGGGAAAGGAGTTTACATGTACCTTTTTTTTTAGTATAATTATTATTATGAGTGCTTGTCAACATTTCTAGGTTGAATTTTTTTTTTTGGGGGGGGGGGGGGGCTGTGGTGGACGTCCTTGAAAAGTTCCTGGATCCGCGCCTGTCCTGTACGATAATTATTTTCTTTACAATGCAAGAATGATAACAGAATGTACGATTGTTTGCTCTGTTCATTTTTTGAAAATCAGAAGAAAACATTTTTACTTATGATTAAAAAACCAGACATGAACATATTTATCTCACCTTTATGAGAACTTCTGTCCTACAGTTTCACAAACTTACCTATGTTGCATTATATACCTTAATCACATGTAAATTTCGAAAAAGAGGGGCACGTTTGTACTGCATTGAAATTGACTTCAGGATTTCCAGTATTTCAATTTTATCCTTTATTTAAGGGTATTTAACAATGACCTTGTCACTTTATGTACCTAGCCAGACTTCCCGTTTATAAAATATCTGTCAGAGATATTCTCTATGGTTTCTATCGGGAATATTATTATGTGACAAACATCACCAGTAGTTTGTTTAAAAAGGTTATTTACTGTAGATTAGATATGAATTAAGACTGGTGAAATGTAAATGTGCTAGCCGTATTGGATTCCACGTGGGTTTGTTGACACACGATCATTAGTCTTGTACATTTATATCTGAATGGATGATTAAACACGACAAGAAAATAAAAAGGCAGTTAATAAAATAATTAGCGATCCATTAAAGGAAACTAAATATATTTTGTGTGAAGATAAACATTCGAGGAATTATATCGTGTTAATTAATGTATTCATCGAAGAAATGGATGTTAATGAATAAAAAATACAATTATAGCGGGTAACATTTTTTTTAAAATTTAACTTTAATTCACAGCTGAGAAAGTATTTGTGCAACAACGAAAAAACTTTGTTTGATTTAGACCATACATGGATAACTTATTTTTGACGAAAAATCTTCTTTGCATGTAGTTTATCTAATCAAGTTGTAAAAATTAAATATGAAAGTGACTTACCACCTTTCCTCGTATAGTTTTCGGGATCCATAACTGTACCACGAAATAAATCGCCCTGAATATTTAGTTTTATTTACGGCTAAACATGTACGAAAATTGAATGACGTGTAAAAATTTCGCCTCACAGCCTTTATGTACAGTGTACATGCATATTAAACTTCTAACTAAAGGAAGGCAATCATTGAATTCAATGCAACATTCAGTGCAGGGGTTTTGCTGGCGTTTCATTATTCAGAGTACAATGAAATCCACAAGTGTCTTTTCACCAATCTCCCCGCTATCTTGCAAATGACAGATTACTAAATCAACAAAATAACGCCAAATAAACTCATAAAAAAGATAAACCACGGCGCGCATGGCTTTATGTTAAAGAGCCTTTGAAAACAAAATCAATTCGGGGCCTTCTGAAAATCAAATTGGGTGTTATTACTTTTAATGTTTTGTTCAAATACATAAATCGAGATTAACTGTCTCTGTTGACATAAAGAATAAACTCAAGGACAGACGTCATCTTATTTAAATTTTACCGGCTTCAACACAAAGACATCTAGAAAGGCCACAAATACAAGTGATCTTTTATATATAATATTGAATAAGTGATTTGAAATGTTTTATAATTTACAATCAAAACTTTAAGATTAATCTATAGTAGGGAGATTTCAGTAAAGCATTAATATTTTGATATGTCGGTAATTCTAACAGCAAATCTGAAAAAAGTGTATATGTATGTTTGTAAGCAATGTATAAATGACGTTACGCACAATACTGGTAACTTTGTAAATGACGTTTTGACGTTTAACGTCGGGAAACGGAAGGCAAAAATTACTCATATCAATTAATCAACGACTTAAAACTTTTTATGAAGCTCTTAACAATAAATGCAAACCGAAGAGGTTTTGTGCAGTTAAAGTGACCTGCCCTTTTGTGTAAGATGGAATAAACAGAAATGTACAATATTTACATCCACTGAATATTATCTCCTTTATATTGCTCTTAATCAGTTCATAAACACCCCTAAGCCATTTGTATAGATTTCTTGAACAGCGGCTGTTCCATCAATGAAACATACAGTAAGGTACATATCAATGAAACAATAATTAACATACTTAATTTTACAATATTTGTTTATTTATATAAATATAAACAATGAAATGCCTTTCTTTATTTGTTAATACGGGAATTAACGTTGCAGCTATTGCGGGAAAAAAATTACATAACTAGCTTACGCGGTTTATGTATTTTTTCTGCAACAGCTGCAACGTTATATAATTCCCTTATTAAAAACCAGAGACAGCATTTCATTGTTTAAATTAAATAAAACATGTCAGATAATCGCTGTAGCTTTAAAAATTTATGATATCTTTACCGCTGATACTTCCATAAGGAGAGCTCTAAACTCTGCTCACCGAAGAGTAGTAATTCCAGCGTAGTTTTATGCTGTTAGAGTGATCTGCCCTTAGATGCAAGATAAAATAAACTGGAATCTACAGTGAAAGACACAATACTAGATAAAAGTATTCTTAACATTATATTACGACAGAACAATAACCTTTAAATACCAAATCTTATATATAAATTGTTTTCATTTATGTTTCTTTGATTGTAATTAAAAATTATGAAAAAAAAATTGAAAGTAACAACAAATATAGAGCAAGACAGCAAATTCCATGATCCTGATGTAAATAACCACTCCCTACCCTCGGCGGATATATTCACCTCTGTCTTTGGCTAACGTATTTTTAAGTATGAGGAAAAAGTGCGTTTGTTTTAATTCATTGTAATTAAATTCCTGCTCTAATGTTTATCTTTAAAGGTATATATTAACAAAGTAGATCTAGAACTATTAGTTTAATTTGAAATAATCCTTGGAATATCATATATTTTTACGCTATGTCAAAAGTCTTGACGCCAGCCCATTGCAGATGTGTCTGAGAGACAAACGACAACTCTGCAAGGGAGATTGGTAAATTCTTCACTTCCGTTAAGCACGCACTCACTCACCTAAGCACTCACACGCGTGTCACTATATCTTCTCCACTTTCGCTGCGATAATAAATCCATAAGGTTTAATAATATTTTCTCACGCTAGCCTCTATAATATATCTCTCTTGCACTTTTCAGACTTCGTTATGGTAATGCACCTAAAAATCGAGATTATGTGACGTCACAGTCTAGAAGGTTTGAAGAGGTGGATCTAAGTTAAAACTGAAAAGGTATCCAGTAATACACATCTGCGCTCGCCTAACGGTCGCACCGTCAACATATAAACAACCAAAATGGATAAGAAGCTATAGCAAATGTGTTTTGCTAGTTTGTTTATCATTAACAAAACATTGACAGTTAATGTAAAATTCAGACAGAGAAAACTTATTTAACCCCTTCTCTACCGCATCGGTCAAAATGACTGATAGCGCCTTAAAACAAGACTTCGGGAAAACCGGTTCTCCATTATATCTTTTTTTATGTTAGCATTAAGGTATACAATCTATATATCATCTTTTAGGAAATTTTCTCTACTTTTAAATCCTGTAAAATTTTATGCCTAAATGATAATGCGCTAATGAATAGATTTTACGTTTTGAAGATATTTTCGACTTTTTGAAAATGGCGCAAATTTCCAAAGCAAGGACGATTTTCCCGACGATTGGCATATTTTCCCTGATTAATTACGTAAAGAAAGTTTGATATATTTAATAAGCATGTTTTCTCTGCTTTTCAAATATGTAAAAATTGTTGTTTTTACTTTAAAGTATTTTGTAAAATCAAGCATTTTCTTCAACCTATGTGTTTTTTTCTCGTTTTTATTCGTAATATTTAAGCAAAGCACATTTTTACTTTTTATATTGAAATTGTTGCGAACAGTCGCAATTTCAAGAACTTTTATAGAAATTTAATGAATTGATTTAATTGTATGTAAAATCTGGAATTTTCTACATGTTACCTACATGTATCTGAATGAATATTCAAGAATTCTCTAGAATATGTCAGAATGTGATGACCTTATCACAGAAAACCCCATGATATTTCCTATTTTCATCGCAAAAAATTAACGTTTAAAGTAAGCATGGTCACTTCACTGAGCTGAAAACTGTTTAAAATGATCTCTGCCAAGAAGATGAAAATGAGAGCGTATGTGAAAACCATTCTTTACATAAATCGCCGAAGAACTCATATTAAAATATGATTTTTATATGTGGAAAGAAAAGTCTTAACGCTGGATAGTTTTCAGATTGATTCAGAAATTCAAAAGTAAAAAAGGAGAGTTAAAATATGAAATCAAACTGATTGATTGAAATTTGTAGGGACACCAAAAATTATCTATGCTATGTGCAACACGATATTTGAAAAAGTCAGATTTACATCGAAAGACATTGCTAAGACACTAAGCATTTCATCATCACAACATCTTTTTTAGAATTCTGACAACGGAAATGAATATAATGATATTTCTATCAGATAGGTGCCTTATTTCCCTAAAACTGCCTAAGAGAAATTACGCATTAAATGTGCCAACGGTCTATTTAAAACAAATATTTTAACAAAATAGAAGATTTGTTCAATTTGCGTGATGGATGACGAAACATGGGTACACTTTTTATAGCCAAAAAGAAGATCAATAGTAAAATGTGGAATGAAAATAAAAGCTATCGTTCTTATTATTGTGAAGAGAAACAAGGACTCCAAGCATGAT